GTGGTGTGGGATGAAGTGAATTCCAGTCAGCGGCCAGCCACAAGTGGTGTTCCCCACAGCTCAGTACCGGGGACAGTTCTCCTTAATACCTTCATCAGTTATCTGGACAAGGGGATTGAGGGTACCCTCAGGAACTCTGCAGAGCATACCAAGTTGGTCAGATGTGTTGATCTGCTTGAAGGTAGGGAGGCTCTCCAGAGGGACCTGGCCTTGCTGGATTGATGGGGCAAGGCCAGTTGTACAAGGTTCAATAAGGCCAAGTGCTGGGGTAACAACAACCCCAATACAGCACTACAGTCTTGGGGAAGAGTGGCTGGAAAATGCTCAGCATAAAAGGCCCTGGGGGTGCTGGTTGCCAGCTAGTTGCGTATGAGCCAGCAGTGTGCCCAGGTGGCCAAGACCAACAGCATCCTAGCTCATACCAGAAACAGTGTGGCCAGCAGGACTAGGGAAGGGATCATACCCTTGTACTCAGCACTGGTAAAGCCACACCTGCACTACGAAGTTCAGTTTTGGCCTACTCACTACAAGGACATCAAGGTGCTGGAGCATGTCCAAAGACAGGCAATGAAGCTGGTGAAGGGTCTGGAGCACAAGTCTTAGAAGGATTGGCTGAAGGAACTAGGGGGGGTTAGCCTGGAGACAAGGAGTCTCAGGGAAGACCCTCCTGTTTTCTAAAACTAGTTAAAAGAAGGTTGTAGCAAGGTGGGGGGCAGTCTCTTCTCAAAAGTAACAAGTGATAGGGGGCAAGAGGAATCAGCCTTAGGTTGTGCCAGGGAGGCGTACATTGGATATATTGAAAATTTCTTCACCAAACAGGTTGTCAATCCCTGGGCAGCCTATTCCAGTCCAGTGGTGGATTCACCACCCCTGGAGGTATTTAAAAAACATGTAGATGTGGCACTTAGGGACATGGTTTAGTGGTAGACTTGGTAGTGTTAGGTTAAGGTTTGAACTTGACCTTAAGGGTCTCTTCCAGCCAAAATGATTCTATGAGATTTAATAGGAGTGTAGTGCCTAAACCCTAAATACTGAGAGATAGTGTTTCCTTCCCTTTTGACACTGCAGCTCACATCTTTCCAAATCCATTCCTCATTTAACTGTGGATCAGGAGAACAAAAAAAAAAAAAAAAAGAAACCAATGGGGTTTAGAGGGCAGGTCATCAAGCACATCTATCCTGTGCTAGAAAGAACCTCCTGTAGCATAGCATCAGCCATCACACATTAGGGATCTGACTTTGCCTCTGAACAACTGAATAGCTCTTAGCTGCAAAACTGGAAATGAGAACATCTGATTGAAGCCAGGCAAAGCATTAAGAGTATTTCACCAGTTTAAGTCAGAATGAACAGTTTGTCTAAATACTAATGCAAAGAAGCTTTCAGGTCACTTCTGCAAATCTAATAACCAAATTTGATATACTCAGACATATTCCACTTTATATTTTCATATTTATTCAAGTGTAATGCTGAAATTTTCAGCCTGCTATAGCCAAGTCCTAAAAACATTTATGCACCTTTAAAACTGATTTATTCACAAATCTCATTTATACATTAGCCACAAGTTCTTTTAGTAAAAGTGTTTAAGTATGAAAGTAAAAAAAAATTGTTTAAAATATAGCTTTTTAATAAAATCCAACAAGCTTTAACCAAACCTTTCACATACTCTCAATTAAGCTTTTTCCATAAGGCACATGTATACACATTTCAAAGAAGCAGTTAATTATAACTTACCAAATCTTTACAACATTTATAAAACAGTCTTTGGAAAAGCATACTATGAATAATACACAAACATAAATGCCACATTGCAAATTTTAGACAGAACTGTAAATGAAATCTTTATGCATATTTCCCAGATCTTAGTGGCTTGCCTCCACTGGGGAATAAATTGTTACTGGATGCAAGGTAGCTGTAAGATTGCTCTGCACAAAGTATTTAAATGTACTTTGTTAAAGGCAAGCCTAAAAGTTCCAGGGTAAACACAAATGGTTCACCCAATTTTTTTTTTTTTTTTTTAAAAGTGTTTCTAGTAAAAATCATGTAATCCCCCAAATGGAAAAGGCAAGGAAAACACTAAATTGTTACTGGGTATTTCATGAGTGGAAAAGTATCATTTTCCAGGCAAAACTCACAGAGGAATAGAAGTTGGCTCTTAAAGTGTACAGTGGTTCCTTTTTAATTTACCCTAGACAGGATGAGAAGCATTTAATCACAGCATCCCTTAAAAGAAGAAAAAAAAAGTCAGTTAAGATGTATATAAAGAAAATAACAAATATATCAACCATTCCATACTTAAAAATACTACATAAACTAAAGACAAAACCCAGAAGTTCACCAAATACAGAACTTAACAGCCATCGTTGAGCCCATCTGCAGCAGCAGCTGAAGCTCAGGCCTGCCCGTATTGTCTGAGTCTTGCACCACACTGCTGACATTCAAACACGTGCTAAAGTGCAGACAGTGCTAGAAACTGTTCTGCAGCACTCACCTGGTGGCCTAGCCTAGCTGAAAGGCACATTTCACAAAGGCTGGCCAGCAAGGGCAGGGCTGAGGAGCCAACCCAACCAGCCAAGCACAGGTGCTTTGAGTCCAAGCCACGTGGGAGCTGGACCATCACACTGCAGGGAAAAAAGCCCAGGCTGAAGGGCTTAAAGGGCACGTACTGGCAGTGCAGGATGGAGAGCTAGCCCTATGGTTTGAAAGGTCTGAAGTGGTCTGTTTCTGTAACCAACAATAAACAAACTATTTTATGACTATTCTGCATAGGTCACATTTTATTCTCCTTGAGCTTTCATTTTTTTCAAAACCATAACAACTTAAGCAGTGAACTAAACAACAGTATTCTGTTGTTAGTCAATTTGAAAAATGAAGAAAAATACTATCAATGACTCCTTAAAAGCATTCTATGTAGGGCTTTTTGTTGTTGTTTGGGTTTTTTTCCAAGCCAGCAGAAGAGGCACAATTAAATAACACAAACCCACAAACAAGTTTTTAAGAGTACACCATTAACAGAGTTAAATCAAGTAACGATCATTTTGTTGAAATCAAGAAGAATGTGTACTTAAAACAAGTAACATAATACTGTTCTCTGGCACTTAGCATGGTTTAGATCACTATTTATGTAAGAAAAGCAGCCTATACAAGATATTTATGACAGCACTCCACATAAATAACTCAATCCCTAAAGAAACCACTGTACTACTAAAAGCAGCCTGTGTAAAGTTTAGTTCCTTGGCTCATAAAATCTAAGAGACAAATGAAACCAAAGAAATTGAATGCTGCATATAACCTAATGTGTTTCTGCCCCGAACTTAAAAGTTACTGTTGGTAGGAAAGACAAGACCAGTGACTAGCAGCTCAACTTGTTCTCTGTACAGAGCAGAACATTTAAAAAAAAAAAAAAGAAAGAAAAAAGTGACTGAGACTGTCAGAGGGCCCCAAGAACTGTAAGAACTCAGAACACTACTTTTGACTCGGTTAGCTTGAGATGCCAGAAATAGTAAGATGATAATTTGAAGCCTGAGTTCAGTTAAAGTATTTAATCCATCGCAATTATTAACTAATCTCTTTTTAAAAATCCCAACACCTTTATTTGGCTTAATCCTTCCTAGATCAAATCTGAAACTTCAAAAAAAAAAAATAAAAATCTGTAGTATAGGTTTTTCAGCTAAGTTACAGAAACACTACAGGAAGCTATCAGAAAAAAGGGATACACAATACTTGGTGGTTCCCCCCTGCTTCTCCTTCTACTAGGAGAGAAAATCTCATTAAGAACTATATAGACATGGAAGCACTTTTTTTTAAAAAAATAAAACACCACACTGCTGGAGGACTAAACTACATATTATATGAAACATTATGGAAAAAATATATTCTTCTGTTTATTTGCATGTGGTTTCACTATGTGTTTGGCTAGTTTTCCTTCCCTTTTTGTACACACAAGTGTGGGAAGAAAGAGAGAAGCTTGCCAAAATGAAAATTAAGACAAAGGGTTGCCTTTGTCTCTCCTAAAAATGGAGGAATTCAGAAGCAGACTTAGCAGCTGAAACTATGCTTATTTGTTTGCTTTTAACTAAGACCTCAGATCCACCTTCAATTTTGGTATTGGAAAAGACACTATGGCATCAATGTATTTTTACATCACTGGAAAATTTAAATAAAACCTCAATTTATTTTCAGTGATGAAAAACAGAATGAAATTTAACAAAGAATTACTATGCACTTGTATTTAAGGCTTATATTAAGCATTACTTTGAGTTCAGTGATGTCACTTGCTACAAATGAAAAGGCAAGGGTGTGGGTTATATTTTTTCACATACTGAATTAAAGGGCTTCTTGTCCCTCCCTAGCATAAAGACAACTGATTTTTGCCAAGATGGAAGTTGTTATGCAGACTCACCTTGCAAAAGGAATATATGACAGACTATACCTGAAAAAAGAGAGAGAAGTATATTTGACAATGTTTATGTCTCTCCTAGAGCCAAATTATTTCACTTGTAGTCCAGCACCAATAAAATCAACCTGTTGTAACAAAATTTTAAACAAGGCTACCTACCCCAATTTAATGCTTACCTGTAAAAAGATGAAACAGTTAGACAAGAACTAACCATAATGCCAAGGATTTTATGGTTTACTTTTTCTTGGTTTTATTTATTATATAGTTCAAAACTTCTATTGCATGCAAACTTAATAAAAGATTTACTACAGACAGATTCAAAAGGAATGCAGATTTCTGGGAAAACTGTATTCTTCAGGATGATAGAGACAACTTTTTCCAGCTTAAAAACCAATATACATTACTATGCAAATGTACAGCTAGCCATATTATTTATGTACCTCTATATAGGGATCTGTGCTGTAGTATGAATAATAGACCACAACTGCAACGCTCAAAACAATTGAGAATTCTCCTATCCTCTGAAACTTCCTTCTCACAAGCTTCCAGCCCATCCTGACCAAGTTTTAGGGCACTTAAACGTGAAGCTGTGTACTGTAAACGTGCAGAACACAGTCCAAGTCAGCAATGTTCCCTCTGTAAAGCATCAAGCATTTACCTGGGTGCAGCACGATGCCCAGCAGTCCCTATCCTGAACAAATGGTTATTTGTCCTCGGATCCAAGTTCAGTACAGACACTGTGTATTCAGGGCAAGTTCAAACAAGAACTGTGGTCACCTTGGGTGGCCTAAGAGTGAGTACCAAGTCATTCACCTGGGACGAGGAGACCAAGTATGCTCAGTTGTATCTCCATGGAGAATGCAGTAACTTCCAAAACTTCTGCCAGGCTTGCAAGCATTCCCAAGCCCAGCCCTTGAGCGCATCTGGATGGTCATCACAGTGCTTGCTGCACTGAATTTACCCTCCCAGTGCTGCTCAATATTCTTGTGGCAGGACACACCTTATGAAAACGTTATTTAGATCCTTTCACTTCATAAATGAAAATTGAGTTAGGACTCAAAAAAAAAGATAATCTGAAGAGACGTGAAAGTAACCATATTTTCACATAAAACAGAAAAAAAAGCATGATTTTTTTTTTGCATATATAATCCTTTAATAATGCTTCAGCTAAGTTCACATATTGCAGAGCATACCTAAAATTACCATTTTTGCAAGATGATTGCATATAGATTTTGCTGAAGTTACACAACCTAGCTTAGAAAAACAGACTGAAGCATACTTATGTTATGTGAAGTGTGTGTATATATATAGGTTTAAATCATGCGAGTGTAGGAGCAGGGAGAAGAAATTAAAATGAATTTTAAAATCTTACCAGGTCATTGCCAAGAACTGCAATATGCAGAATAACATCGCCAAACCTTTTTTCTTCCACTAAGTAAAAAAAAGCAAATATTGGAAGTTAATTCATTTTGCACCAATCTATACTGCAGAGAATTTGGAGTCTTTTCAGTCAAAAATTGAGTTAACCAATGATGCCTGAATTTCCTTGTCTGAATTTGCTACTCCTTTCCAATCTTAACACATTTTATTAATTTTATCTGTCACTCCATTAGCATCAGGCTATGAAAACCTTCTCTAGCTTTGAAACAGCATTGATGCTGACACTTTCACTTTTATTTCTGACATTGTACTTCTGCAAATATGGGAGTTCACTTCAGCTCCATATTATACTTCTCTGGAACATACCTACAGCCAGTTTTTTAATCAAGGTGACTGAAGGTACTTGTTCTGTCTCTATCTTAATATTCTGTACCCATGGTTTCTGAAGACCACTGCATATTCTCTCACATTTTGCGACATAAGCAGATGTTGCTAAAATGAAAGTGTATCTTAACTTGCTTTTCTTAATCCAGTTCTTATTGCAGAGGTCTGCAGACTGAACTGATGATCTATATTTTGTACTCTCATCTACATCACGTGCAGGTGGAAGGCTGCATTTGCTTTGTAGCCAACAGGTTCACCACTCTATCTAAACTGAACTATAGTTGAAAACAAAAACACCACACACAAACTCATCTTTCCTCAACAACTGAACTGCATGTTAAAGGCATAATACAATTAATAAACTAACCAGATTGCTCTTTAGAGGAATCAAATATTCTCACTTACCCAGAATACAGCACAGAGAGTCAATACTAGACAAAGCTGGGGGAAGATGAAAGGAGAGACAAAAAAAAGAAAACCATGAACACTGAAATACAGAACAAACAACAAAGCAAATACAGTAACAGTTCTTCAGTGGAGAAGCAGCATTTTCAGACCTGAATCATGAAACAAGCAGAGCCAAAGGCTGTCACATAGTGACTATATCCTGAACTTCATGTAAAGTGGTGCTTTCCAAAGCACAGTACAATGTCCCAGCCCTTCTGGCTGTGGAGCACAAGTCTCAGAGGACGATGCGTGAAGTGACGTCAGGAACAGGGACGTGTATAACCAGGCTCCATAACCTTATGTGTTAGGTCTATTAAGAGATGGGCTTAGGCAATAAAGCTTGTTTGAAAGCAACCAAGTAGTCTGGGAACTCCTATTCTACTATTTCAGCATACAGTATCATTTTGGAGCTAGCATTTGTAACATCAACATCTGTCAAGAAAGGTATGTGCATTGCTATGAACGACCCATTATTAAAAATACTCAATTCATAATCACAGTGTTTGGCAAACACAGGCTCTGCTGCTTCTGCCCGTGTTTCTTCATCTTCTGACAGTAGAAGAGCCCACTAGGGAGCAGCTGCCTCACACAGTGAAAAAGCTCACAGCAGGCTTTATTCCAGCCATGTACACATCTTTGATGGAACATTACGACGATACAGTTTACAATGCCAAATTAATCACACCACTTGTGCAAGCTCAACCACCACTTTGAACTTTTCCACTAAATGTCATCTGACTCCCTCCATTTGCCATTACACATAGTAGAAAACAGAATGAAACTAATTTTCACTGAAAGAAATTTCTTGGTGTTTTATTGAAAGAAATAAAAACACTCTTGAAGCTTTTTTGTCATCTTTTTGTCACTATGTCTGAGGACAGTGAACAACAGGATCACCAGAGCAAGTAATTTTTTGTGCTGTCTGTCTTAGTGTCTGGGTTAGGCCCTCAAATTAAACAGGAAAAAGCCCACAGCTGGGAAGTGTTGGAGAATTCATGCTCAGCAAACACAGACTCCAGAGAGCTGGAGATATTCTTGGATATTCTTACAGCTTATCTGTGAAGCATATCTCCTCTAGGACTTTAACAAAGCTTGGAGTCCAAGCAAGCATCAAGTCACGTCTCTGAAAGATGTGGGCAAATGTGAGCTTCTCAAATGAGATGATTTTTTGTGGTTGCATGAGAAAGAATATGCAACCCACATGACAGCCATCCAGAAAGAATTCATGAAGGGTTTCTTATCCATATCAGCTGTAATTAACTAGAAAATAAAGTTATATGATAGGGAGAATAGGACAGCCAACTACATTTCAAAAAAGTTGAAACCAATCAGGAGGAATGAGAGAGAAAATGAGTACAAAACAGCACCAACAAGGGCAGGAACTTGTTTTTAACTACCTAATATACAGTGAGTGTTGGGACAGGAATTCTGAGATTGGGGGTGTGGTTGTGTTTTCCATCCTCCTGGAAGAAGGAAGGATGGTCATAGAAGTAAAGGAGCCACAGACCTCACAATGGAGGATTGTAAAGCTGAACATGTGACTTCCCTGACTTTGAGGAAAGAAATCCATTTTCTCCATTGCTCTGAAAGTGCTGAACCACTCTGATCTGTACAGAGCTGCAGCCAACAAACAACTGTCAAGCTAGACTTAGTGACCACTGACTTTTCATGGTAGCTGAGAAATGTCTCTAGCCTTGTTCTTGAAGAAATTGCTCTAGAAAATAAATTTTAAATAATGAACCTAATTTTAGCATTTAGTAAGATCTATTTAGTAAAGAACATTTTACTCTAGGTGATTAATTTAAAAAGTCATAAGCAACAAAAACACAGCCTCATAGAAAGGAGTAAGATAATCTTTCTGATATACAGAGATAATCAGCTTGACTCTTAGTATGACAAAGAGGTGGACTGAGAAGTAAGCTCCCTTTAGTAAAGCCTCAAATTTAGCTCTGAGGCTAAAGGAAAACTTTTTAGCAAAACGAAGTAAAGATAGTGTATTTACCAACATCACAACTGTAGCTATTAATCTTTTTGGATCAAACATTGCTTTCAGTTGCTTCAGTGGCCCCATCAGGAAACAGGTACTAACGGGAGGGAAAAAACAAAACAAGTGGTAAATCACTTTCAAATAAATATCTGTAAAAGACAACAGGCAATTAAACAGTTCCAATAGTTAGATCACTACAAAGTTTTAAAAAGGCATTTCAGTGTTTAGCAACAGAGACTGCACAGAATAAAAGGCAAAATTCACCATTAATTTAGCCCTGGAAGCAGCTTATGCATTGACTGACCCTTGGACATGAAAGTCTTTCCAAAACATTACCACTTGTAGCAGAGTGTTGTTAAGTTCAAGTCTACCGAGTGCTGAGGCTGCTTTAAGAGCCTACTTACCAGAACACAAAGGATACAAAGACTGAAACTCTGTAGAAAATTTCTGTTTAACAATAATCTTCCTACCCAGGCAGCATGCAGGTAGCTACAATCAAGATTACACAGAGGCTCTAACTCTTTGCCCAAAATCAGCAAGAAAAAAAAGACAAAGTTCAGCCATTTGTATTAATTCCTCCTGCTCTCTTCTGTTCTCTAGTTAACTTGAGGGGTGAACAAAAACCACCAGAAATGCTATGCTGTAAGCATCTTTTTCATGCAAAGAAACTTGATGTGAACTAAGAATTCACCACTGTACTAGTAATTATCTTGTGGTAGTCTGAAAGCTTTACTGCAGATCAGGAAACCTACTTTAGCTCCTTTTCTAGTTAATATTTATTTATATGAAATGCAATGATCAGTAGCAGGAAAGAGTTTGGTAAAGCCTGGTGAAGCACACAGCTTCTAAGACAGAAGAAATATGGGAATCCACATCCCAAGCAGTAAACTGAACCCATGGTCTTCCACAGCCAGATGTTCCTGCACCAGCAAGTTTATGTATATAGCCCTTTCTCTTTTTTTTTTCCTTAAGTTGCATAGAGGGCAAAAGTCCATATTACACAGAAAAAATGTTTTCCCAGTTCAACAGGAAAAAAATGTTCTAAATTCACAGCAATTTAAAAAATACCAAGAAAAAGTTAGTTTAATCTTGGCTCCTGGGCTATACAATTAAATTTAAAAAAAAAAAAAGACATGAAGAACTAGAATAAAAAGTTAGCTAGCTAGTAGAAAGATAAGGATGATGAAAATATGAAAGTATTACAAACTCTTCTAATAACAACAATTAAGAAACCATACCTGGCTAATGCAGCAATATTTCCCAAGGTGTAAAACAGTGCAAAAAGTTTGATTCCCTGTGGGAGCCATAGCAATGCTGTTCCCTATAAAAGATACATTAATTATATGGTTTTAATTAGTTAATTCAATTCACTTAGATTGTATAGACTATAAATATATTTTCAGACTACAAAGGATGTCATAGCAGAATACACTGTTCTCAGCTTTGTAGTAGTCAATATTCAGCATGCTTCTATTGCCACCTACTGGTAAAATAATGTGTTGATTTACTATATTTCAATGTTTTTACAACTAGGAAGGGTGGACTTATATTGTTTATAACACTTCCTTGTACTCTTTGCATTCTGACACTTTCAGTTCTGTTACAATGTCCCACTATGCGTCATACACCTTCACACACAAAGGATACAATGTCATAAAACCACACTAATACCCATCATCTCCTTTCTCCTCCAGTCAACCATCTGGACTCAGTGTGGACATACACTGAGACTGTAAAGAGAAATAGTTTAGAATTCTTACTTCCAGACATCTCTTAATTCTACTAAGCACAAAAAAAAATCCAAAGCCTTCTGCTGATCATGGTCCTTATGATGCTCAGGAAAAAATAAAGCCTAAACTAGAAAAAAAAATTGTTTTCATTTTGTTTAGGCTTTTAACTTTTTTTTTTTTTTAAAGCTGTGATGTGGACACTGTCAAAAGAAAAAATCAACTACATTGTATCCAATTGCAATTTCAGTGGAAATCTGCAGTGCCAGTTTGCAGAGACCACAGCACAACCAGTCATGGAAAGCTGCAAGAGAAGTGTGATCATGTTTGCAAGGAAAGCCTATGGACATTTTGCAAAGAGTAGATTAAAGAAAAAAAAAAAACCTGTGTAATTTTCACTAGCCAAGAACATAGTAAATATACCAAGCGGTCCATAAGCTGAAGCAGAAGTTGCTAGCTCTCAGCTTCACTACCTCCAAACTCTCCAAGACACAAGGTCCACAAACACACTAGCAGTTTTGACTCTTATCAAGCTCAAGGTAACTGAAAGAAGCCAAGATCCTCAAGCCTTTTATCTGTTGTTTCATTGTTTGACATCATGAGACACAGAATAGGCACAAAGATTAAATAACAGAAAAATAGCAGCAAAAAGAATGATGTTAACCTGTCCAGAAATAGATGTTAAAGCACAAACGTGGTGTGTACTTAAATCTGTGACTATGCAGGTTAAATATTACTTGTGGAAAAAAAAAAATTTCAAAAAATGAGTAGGGGAGACAACCAAATAATGCTTAAGCAACCTTAAAGATGAGATTCTCCAACCTAATCCTGAGCTCTCTCCCTAGAACTTGCCTCTTCTCTTAACACAAGCATCTGCCCAGAGTTTGTGTCACTGCACCTGGCATAAATATAATGAGCTAATTACCACTTACATAAGACCTCTCATAGGTAAGACCAGCATTGCTCTGGTTTACCTCTAGGTCTCAGGAACTCTAACCAACTGCAAGTTTTCATAATCAGAAACTTCCATTTGCAGAAGAATCCATCCAGTTGCTACCTCTAAGTAAGTGCCCCAAGCAATCAGTAAGCTGCTCCTCCACAGCTGCTTTTTCCTGTCATAAGTCTCCTTAGTTTAAAAACTTTTCAGGGTAAATGAAAGAGCACCAACAGTCATTTGAATAATGCCAAACCCAGAAACGCATGCACACAGGCCAAGTTTCTCCATTCTGCCACCCAAATGCATCAAGTCAAGGCAACCTCAACAAAAACAGCCAATGTCATTCATACACATTAGCCAAAGGCTGCTAACTAGCTTACATCAAAAGTCACACTCTGAGAAGAATCAACATCTTACTTAATAATAATTAAAAAGTAAAAAGACAGAAAGAAAAACCACAAAACCAGCAGTCTGGATACTTCCCAGTGATGTTTCACCTGCTTCTGGGACTTTCTATAGAGGTGAAGAACTGTTTTGTACTGAAAATTACCTGCATAGGATTTTGACAGATCAAATCAATCAACTTTTACCTTGCAGGCTTGAGCTTCCTGCCATCATCTCAAGTTCAAGAATGAGCAAATTATTTGCTGGTCATAAGATAACAGAAGTGCAGCAGATTTTTCAAGCGTCCATATGCTACCACAGTCGTCACCTATTGACCTGAGAGTGTGACAGGTTATGTCTGTGGTGTCTTCAGCCTTCAAACACCTTTCAATCTTCCCCCTCCTTTTCCCCTTTTATTGGGGAGATTAAAAATAAGATGGGTACACACTGAACAAGAGCAAAAGCTCTTTCCTAGTACACCATTCACATATCTAAACTAAAAATATAGCACATTTTGTCAGTGTTCAAATCTTTTGGTAAGAAATTTTATTATGCTACAATAAAAGTGCTGAATGGAAGCAAGATGGTCAAAATCATAATTTACAGAACATCCCCCACATGCTCATCATACACTTAATGTCCAATTATATTTACAGATGCATAATTTAACAATCACATATTAAGTATGAATATGAATGAGGTTCTACTGTAGAACATTAATAAGGTAAAAAAACCCAAGCACTTTACTTACAAGAATAGAACACACAATGCCAGCAACAAAACATATGGCAAACCATCTGACCCGAGTACCAAAGCTGAGTGTTGAGGCATCAAGGACCTTAACAGGAGGAGAGAAAAAAAATAAAATAAAATTTACAAACCCAGTTTTGACCAATCTGAAGGACATTTATATCAAGCAAATTTTTAGCCAGAAGCAATTACTTCACCTTGCTTAACCGTTGCTTGCCTATTAATACTTTCAGTTTACAAAAATTTTATTAGCAATGTGGAAACATATTTCCAAAGCAAACAAACAAGACAAAAGCTGTGAAGTATATCCTGGCACTCAAGCAATACTGCTCTGCTTTGAAACAGGCTTTCTTATTACCATGCAATTACAAGTGAAAATTCTCACAGTTGTACCAGAGCTAAAGAATGACTGGACCTCCCAGCAACCTGCAGAGGAACACATCTGTGTGTGCAGCACTGCACGTTCCCACAGACACTGCTGCTGTTCCCTGCCACTCCACAGGCTCCACTGTCCAGCCCAAGCATCCCTGGCAAGCATGAGGATTCTGGGTCAACCCCTGCTGCTCGAAGAGGGAAGGTGTGGGCAGACTAACACAGCTAACTTGCTGAAAGGGATCATTTCACTTCCTGCTTCTCCAGCGTGATTTTGGAACCTTCAAGACCCATTAATGAGCTGAGCTGGATGACAACGCATGAAGGGGGAGGAGAACGAGCATTCCTTCTGTTCTACGCTAGACTAATGAGCCAAACCAGATCAGCAAGGTGTCAGAAAAGCACCAGGGCTAATACAAGGAATGAGGCAGGGCCATATAGCTGGCAGAAGAAAAGTCCCTTTCAGCACAAGTGGCTTGTTAAGATATGCTCAGCTCATCTTGTCCACCCATGCTGCAAAAACAGCATATTTCAGCTTACTCCAGGTCACTAATATTAAACATAATTTCTATTCTAAACTGGTCTATTAAGTGAAGTGTTGCTTCAGCTTATATAAGATGACTACAAAAAAGCTAAATTTCCCTATATTGTTCAGATGGCAAAAGCAAACTTGCCCTCTTGTTATCTACTTTACAGATATTTTCAATCAAGTATTAGCCAAATATACAAGTTAGGGCTTTGTGTTTCTCCTACTCCTGAGAATTTTCTCTTTCAGGCAGTGGTGAGCAAATGAATGGAATTTGCTTATGCTCAGAACGATTTCACATCTGTACAAATGAAGACTCCACATCTAATTTAATTGAAAAGGGCCACATACAGGCATACATGTATGTGCTGTGATGAACCAGCATCTGAATGTATGTCAACAAGGAAGAGCATGGACTACTTTCTACCTATAAAAGAATTACCAACCTTGTTTAAGGGGTGTCAGAATACTAAACCAAATCTTTTACACTTGCATACTGTCCAAGCAGATACAGACAAGATACAATATTGTTCTGAATATTCCCTCCCCTTCTCTCCATTCAGGAGCTAAGAGAGAACTTCCCAAAGGTCAGAACATGCAGCTTACCTCGTTAGGTCCAACTCTTTATCCTTATGTATGCATTAAGAAATAGACAAAAACAGTAACTGAAAGATAGTTTAGTATTTGAAATCATATTTGATAGTTACATTCATGAATGTGTATCCACATAAGAAGTACAGGAAGAGCTGGTAAGACAACTGAAGACAGCCATTTGGAACATACTTGATGCTTATTCATGCAACTAAACACACATACAAAGTAAAAAAAAAAAATTCTATTACAT